AAAAAAAAAAAAAAAAAAAAAAGTATTTGGAAAAAAAATTGCATAAAGGCAACATGCCAGTAACTATATAGCATTTACATTGTATTTACAACTATTTGCATAGTATTTACATTGTATTAGGTATTATAAGTAATCTAGAGATGATTTAAAGTATACAGAAGGATGTGCTGTAGGTTATGTGCAAATACTATGTCATTTTCTTTTTTTTTTTAACATCTTTATTGGAGTATAATTGCTTACAATGGTATGTTAATTTCTGCTTTATAACAAAGTGAATCAGTTATACATATGTTCCCATATCTCTTCCCTCTTGCGTCTCTCTCCCTCCCACCCTCCCTATCCCACCCCTCTAGGTGGACACAAAGCACCGAGCTGATCTCCCTGTGCTATGCAGCTGCTTCCCACTAGCTATCTATTTTACATTTGATAGTGTATATATGTCCATGCCACTCTCTCACTTTGTCACAGCTTACCCTTCCCCCTCCTCATATCCTCAAGTCCATTCTCTAGTAGGTCTGTGTCTTTATTCCCATCTTGCCCCTAGGTTCTTCGTGACCATTTTTTTCCCCTTAGATTCCATATATATGTGTTAGCATACGGTATTTGTTTTTCTCTTTCGGACTTACTTCACTCTGTATGTATGTCATTTTCTTTAAGGGACCTGAGCTTCCCAGATTTTGGTGTCTGTAGGGCTCCTGGAACCTATCCCCTGTGGATACTGAGGGACTACTGTACTGTATTACTAAGTGATGAGAGTTAACATTACCAGCAATGAGACTTATCTACATCATGCGCCTCCAGATACAATGCACTGAGAAAGGCACAGCATCACTTCTGTGGAATTCCTGCCAAAATGTATAAACTGAATTTAATCCTAAGGAAATAAGCAAACCCAAATTGAGGGACATTATATGAAATAACTGACCAGTGCTCTTCAAAAGTGTCAAGGTCAAAGTAGACTGAGGAACTATTTTAGAGTAAAGAAGACTAAGGAGATGTGACAACTAAAATGCAGTGTGTGATCCTGGTCCAGAAAAGAGGACATTAGTGGAACAGCTGGCAAATTTTGAATAAGGTCTCTTGATTAGTTAATAGTATTGTATCAGTGTCAGTTGCTTGGTTTTTATAGTTTTTATAGTTATATAAGATGTTAGTGTTTGCAGCTACTGGGTGAAGGAAATCTTTGTACCATTTTTGCAACTTTTTTGTAAGTGTAAAATTATTTTAAAATGAAAAGTTAAAAAGTAAAAAACAGTTTTTTAAAAAATATAGTGATTTAATGTGTTAATGAGTGAATAAATGAAGGAAAAGTTTAGACACTAAAGAACTCTATAGACCCTTGTTTTGCAGGGTTACCCAGATTTTGTTCATGTCCTTGTGATTAATTTATTTTCCCTTTTTTCAACAGCATGTCATGATGATGTAGTTAAGATTGTGAATCTAGCGTGCAAATATAACCTTTGTATCATACCAATTGGTGGTAGGTATTGTGTGTTTTGAATTTTAATGTGATGTAAATTTGTTCTATTTTAAATATTTGTGCCATCCCACTGAAAACATTCTTATAATTATGAAATGGTTATCTTGAAAAATTGGTTTATGGTGTTTATTGGTTATGCTGGCCTATTTCTGTTCTGAGTAGATCTACCTAAACTGTTTGAGACATGATTTACCCTTAGTTCATGGCTTCTTTCCCATGTGGATCCTAATTGAAGCTGTGACTTACTGCCTAAATAAGAAAATGTTCCTGCTTTAGTAATTACTTTCTAACCTTTATCTTAATAGAGAGAATATTATTTTTCAAAGGCTAACTATACCCAACATAAATCTTTGAGAAGAAGGGATATGCAACTAGGATAGTGATAACCATATCAGTAATATCTTTTAATACTGAAAACTAACATTATTTTACATTTTAAGATAAATTTAATCTCTCTTGATCATTCACCAACCACATCATTTTAACAGCTTACACAAGCCAAAGGAAATTGCCTTCACTGACTGAATTGGCATTGACGGAATGGAAATGGGACCTCTGCAAATCAGAAGTTCCAGATACCTTCTTCAGCTGATACTTATCGTTGAATTCATGCAAAAAAGGCATTACACTGCCACTTATAATGAAATATTTTTCTGATTTCAAATGACTTTGACAAGAAATAGTGGTTACTAATCACAGACATGTTCTTAACATTGTTTCACTGTGTAGATCAATACCCCCTGTACTTGCATCAAGGTGACTTCCACTTATATTCTGTCCAAAAGATATGAAAGTACCAATTCAAACTTTATTCTGCTATATGATGGTACAGATCTGGTTAAGAACTGAGAACACCGTATTGTTCCGTATTGTTATCAAGAAAGCATTTTTCCTTTGACAACAAATGTTAAGTAGGAGTACATTGTTTAAATTCTTCTATATATTAATTATTCTATATTAAAAATCACTTTTTCACCAAAGAACATATAAATTTGTTTTTGAATATCATATAATCTGGGCAGTTTTAACTTTATATTCTAATTTATTAAAGCCTTTTTGCATGGGAGTATAAGATAATATTTTAAATGATAAGTGAATCTCATAAATATGGCAGAAAGGAGATAATGGTGTCTCTAGTTGTATAGGATGCGTATTTTTTCTTTTACGCTCTCTCTCCACAGTAATCATTAGCTTAGAACTTTTCTAATCATGTTTTTGGAGTTCCACAAAATGCTAGGGGCTTCACTTGAGTGTGCCCGGGGGATGGAGCCATATCCCATTACTTTCAGCTCCATAATATTTCTTCATTTTGGCATGCACCATAAAATTAAGGTGAGTTTGCTTATAGTGTGTTAGCATTTGCAAATTACATTTTGCAAAGTAGAAATAGGTATTATTTCCTAGAGGACCTATCTGTATACTTTGACTTAGGGATTTACCCTAGAAATGTAGCTAAAAGTAAAATATTTAAGCATAGTTGTTGTTTCCTATTTTGGCAGGAGGAACAAGTGTTTCATATGGCCTCATGTGTCCTGCAGATGAGACAAGAACAATAATTTCTTTGGACACTTCACAAATGGTATATGATAATTTAAGATGTATTTGAAGATAGTGTTTAAAAGTTGTCTTTATGGCTCAGTCTTAGTTATTTTTAAAAAGGTATATTGTCCATTTTGTTTAAAATTTTTTCATCATTATATTTTACCTTTGTCTTCAGACCTCTAAAAGCTAAGTTCACTGTTACTCTAAGTCATATATCTTGATGGATTCTACCAAATTAACATGTGAAATTGACAATTTGAGAAGCATGGATTGGAATAGTGATACAATAGATGACCTGATGTATTGTTAAAAAACAAATAATATTTGTTAATGTTAATTTGAATCATCAAAACTTAGTTGTTTCCCAAATTTTTACTAATGCTATTGCACTTTTGCTTTTGGAAGAATAGAAGAGCTAATTAATTTTAAAATTAACTTAAAATTAATGAAGGTGCTAATAAACTTTAGGATTATTTTGTGAAATTTTGGTTCATTATGGTCCAAGAGTTGGCCATTGTGCTATGTTAAAGTTTCAGTTTGGGTATGAACTTAATCTTTGTATAGTCAACAATATTCCTGTTTATATAATCTTCTATTATAATTAAAAATTTAATATTTATTATTTTATTGAAGTTTTTCAAGCGTCAAAGTAGAGAGAATAGTATTTCTAGTCTCTAGATAAAATAATTATTTACATACATTGGCTTTATCTTTTTTCCTGTACTATTTTTAAAGCAAATCCTGATAGTATGCTACTTTACACCAAATATTTCTGTGTATTTCTTTTAAAAAGGACATTTTCTCACTATAATATTATCACTTCTGGCAAAATTAAAAGTAATTCCTTATATCATTTAATATCCAGTCCACATTCATTTTCCAGTTGTCTCAAAATTGTCTTTATTCTATAATTCATTTCATTGTTCAAATGGGGATTCAGACAAGGCCCGCATTAGCTTTTGGTGGTTTCTTTTAGTCTCATTTTATCTGAAACCCTCTTCCTCACTTTCTGAATGTCTGTGTTTTAAACCAACTCCTGTGCAATATACTGCCTGTGTTACTATGTCTGTCATGTTGTATAGTCAAGAACAAGTGGAGCTTTCTAGTGTGGGTAACCCTACTTGCTTAATTTCTATCTTGTCACTTGCTGCTTTCAGTTAGGAGGTTATATTTCCTGAGAAAGTGTCTGTTCCTGGAGATGAGACTTCTTTCTTCTTTTGCAACAGAATCGAATCCTCTGGGTTGATGAGAACAATCTGACAGCTCATGTAGAGGCTGGCATAACAGGACAAGAGTTGGAAAGACAGGTATGTTATTTAAAATTTTCAAAACTGCTGTATCCCCTCTATGAATAAAGTACCTTTCACAGTATATTCACTGAACAAGCTTGTTCGGTTTCTGATGTGGGTCAGATATTGAGCTAGATGCTATGAACACAGTAGTGAATAAGACACCCATCCCCTACCCTACGAAAGCTTACGTTATATTATGACAGAAAGTTAGGTAAATAGACATATGACTCAGTGAGAATTTCTAGGTGAAGCCTGGCAAAATGTGGGGTATTTAGGCTCATCAAATGGGGTTCGAAGAGAAGGAGTTGAACAAAGATGGTATCACAGAGGACTCGGCATTTAAAATGAGGATTAAATTAGGATGAGTGAGAGTGAAAAGGAAATGGGGTTGGGGAGAACAATCCAGTCAAGGGAAGCAGCATGTGCGGAAGATGTACAGGCAGCTGTTGCTTTGGAGGATCTGCAGATAGTTGAATATGGCTGAGATCTAGTCTGTGTATATGGGAGAACACATATTCTTGGTGTTTGTATTTTGGGTGAGTGTACGTATAGTAGTGGTAAAGGGTGAAGCGAGGAAAACATGAAGAGGTCAGATCATAAAGCCCCAAATGTTTGAACTTTACCTTTGTACTTAGTTTTCGTGAGCTACTGTGTGGAGGATGGATGGGCACGTAAAGGTGGATTAAGTGTCTGCTGCAATAATTTGGACAAGAGCTGATAGTGACTTGAAACAAGGTCGTAAGAATGGAGCGAAACAGAACAAGTTGGACACAGAATTCTCAGAAATTAATGATAAATTTGATCAATTTGGGTAGATGTTGGTATTTGCTATTCATTGAAATTTTCAAAGCATAATTTTATTGAAAACTGCTCATCTCATGAATAAGTGGAACTCCTGGAGTCCTTATAGCACTTTTTTGGGATCCTAATGAATTTTAGGAAACTTGAGGTTCTCTTCATGGATTTTAAGCGGTAATTATTAAAATGTATTGGTTTCTTCAGCCCTTTCAAATATGGTCAAGATGACTGTAACTCAGCTTTTGTAAACAAAAGTTAGAAAGTCCAGTTCGCTGGTGATGAACTGACTATTTTGTTCAATTTGGGTTACAGAGACCCCTCTTTCTTACCTTTTTCCCCCTTCTTCTTCCCACTTTTTAACAACACAGAGAGAAATGTGACATGCTTGTTGACCTTTTTTTTATTATCTTTCTCCATATTTCATGGTAAAGAGTTGAATGAAGTTGGTATGCTGGTGACCAATTCTGGATGAAAGGTTTTGAAAAACATTGTTAAACTTTTATTTTTTATTTAATGCGCTAAGATACAGGGAACTAGAATAAAATTGAACATATTCATTGAGACATTAAAGATCTTCAGTAAGTCAAGGTTTTATATAATTCAAGGTAATTAGGTTTGTTAATTATTATAGTTTATAATGAACTTTGTGGGTTGAATAATAGTATTTAATGAAAAAAAACCTGTAAAAAGTCCTGTATTAGTCTTCTGTTATGCTGAGAGGCATTATCAACACAGTGATTTTTTTTTATAACAAAGGATGGCCTTTCATGTCTATAATTTTATATCCTTTATTATAGCATTTGATGTAGTATTTTAACCTTTCCAAGTTTTTTTTTTTTAAAGGTTAGAATTAAAATTCAAGGAACGTATTTCCTTGAAATTTAAATGACATTTTCCTAGACTAGGAACTTATGATATTTTACCTACTAGTTTATTTCCCTAAATGCCAACATAGAACATTTCTTTTTGCCTCTAGTAGACTCTAATATAGTTTCTATAGCTGTGTTGATCCCAGTTCAAGTTCTTCCTCATCATGCTTCTGTATTCTTCAGTTTCTTCTTCAGCTGAGGTAACCAACTTAAAACTTCCTGCTTTTTCATTCTAGAAGTTTTAAAATGACATAAATATATTAGTTGGGTAGCACACATTTTCATCTTTTTAACTTGTAGATTACATTTTTTAATATGTATGAAATTTAAGGGAGGTCATTAAATGTTAACTTTGGATTTTGGGAATTTGTTTCTAGGTTTATTAAATCTTTGGCTACTTAATTTCATTAGTTAATAGTCTGGGGATATGTGACTTATGTTTTCCCCCCACTAGGGATGCATTTCTCAATGCCTCAGTTTCTTTATTTATAAAATGGAGATAAAGTTTTTGTTAGGATGAAATAAGTTAATAATGTAAAGTACTTAGAAATTTTATTCATTCCACTAATTTTTATTGAGTACTATCTGCTTCATTCAGACACAGCTGACTTTAAATATTTCTTCTATATGCCAAAGACTCCTAAATTTGTATCACCTCAGACTTCTTTCTTGAACTCTAAACTTGCATATTCACTTGCCTAGTTGACGTCTCCACTTGTATATCTAATACACATTTCAAACTTAACATTTAAAAAAATTGAATTTCAATTTTCCCTCCACAATTTGCTTATTCTGCAGCCTTCTCATTCCCAGTTGGTGGAAATTCAGTTCTTTGGGCAGCTTGAGCCAAAATCCTGAGTCTTTTTTTTTCTTTTTAGTATTTCTAAAGGGTCTTTTTATTTTTAAAAATATTTATTTATGTGATTGCACTGGGTCTTAGTTGCGGCATGCGGGCTGTTTGTTGCAGTGCATGGGCTTCTCTGCAGTTGTGACGCTCAGGCTCTAGAGCGCGTGGACTCAGTAGCTGCGGCATGCAAGCTCTCTAGTTGTGGCACATGGGCTTCAGAGTGCATGGGCTCAGTAATTGTGGTGTGCAGGCTCTCTAGTTGTGGTGCATGGGCTCAGTAGTTGCAGCGCATGGGCTCAGTAGTTGCAGTGCAGGGGTTTAGTTGACCCGCAGCATGTGGGATCTTAGTTCCCCCACCAGGGATCAAATCCGTGTTCCCTGCATTGGAAGGCGGATTCTTAACCACTGGACCACCAGGGAAGTCCCTGCTTTTGTTTATAATAGTTTCATTGAGATATAATTGTCATACAATACTGTAAACTGCAGTCATTTAAAATGCACAACTTGGTAAGGTTTGGTATATGAATACAACCATGAAACCATCACCACAATCAAGATATAGAACACATGCACCAATCCCAAAAGTTTCCTCCTGGCCTCTTTATAATTCTCTCCATCCCACCTTTTCCATGTCCCTGGAAATCACTGATATGTTTTCTGTCACTGTAGATTTGTTTGAATGTCCTACAGTTTTATTAAAATGAAATCACATACTCTTTTTTTACAAGGGTGGGGCGAGGGTTGGCTTCTTTCACTAGGCATAATTATTTTGAGATTCATGCATATTGTTGCATGTATCATTATTTTATTCCTTTTTGTTGCTCAGTAGTATTCAGTTGTATAGATATACCACTGTTTGTTTATCCATTCACTTGTTGAATGCTTGGATTATTTCCATTTTTGGGCTATTAAAAATAAAGCTGCTTTGAACATTCATGTGTAAGTCTTTGTTTGGACATATACCTTCCTTTCTCTTGGGTAAGTATCTAGAAATGAAATGGCTAAATCATTTGGTAGATATATATTTACCTTTTTGAAAAACCACCAAACGTTTTCCCAGAGTGATTGCATCATTTGATATTCGCGCTAGCACTGTATGAGTTTATCTACATCCTCGCCAATATTTGTTGTTGTTAGTCTTTTAAAGTTTAGTTGTTCTAGTAAGTTTGTTGTGGTTTTAATTTGCATTTCTCTAATAACTAATGCTGTTGGAGATCTTTTCAAGCGCTATTTGCCATCCATATATTTTCTTTGGTGAAGTGTCTCTTCAAGTTGTTTGCCCAATTTTTAAATCGGATTGTTTTCTTTTTATTGGGTTTTGAGAATTTTTTTTAACATATTCTGGACATAAGTTCTTTTCCAGATATATACTTTGCAAATATTTTCTCCCAGTCTGTGGCTTGTCTTTCCATTCTCTTAACAGAGTCTTTTGAAGAGTAGATGGTTTTTAATTTTGATGAAGTACTTAATTTTTTACTTTATATATCATGCTTCTACTGTCATATCTAGAAACTTTTGCTTCACCTGAGGTTACAAAGATTTTCTCTCATTTAAGTTTCATAGTTTTTAGTTTCTTTTCAAGTCTGATGAGTTTTGAAGATTTTGAGTTAATGTTCATGTATGGCGTGAGGGATAGGTTGAAGTTCATTTTTTTTGCATATGGATAATCAGTTGTTCCAGCACCATTTGTTGAAAAGACTATCCTTTCTTCACTGAATTGACTTTGCACCATCATAAAACTTGTCTGTTGTCATTTTTATATAATATGTAATTTATAATAATGTGCATCTAGTCTGGACTCTATTTTGTTCCATTGATCTATTGTATATCTTTATGCCAGTACCACACTATTTGGATTCTTGTGGCTTTATCATAAATCTTTTTCAAAGTTGTTTTGGTGATTCTGGGTTCTTTGTATTTCTATATGATATTTATAATCACCTTGTCAATTTCTATTTAAAAAAGTAGCCTATTGGGGTTTTGATTGGGATTGCATCAACTCTATACATCAATTTGGGGAGAACTGACATCTTAATATTGAATCTTCTGACCCATGAACATGGTATAACTTTAGTTTTTTTAAGGTCTGTTAATTTCTCTCAGCTGTGTCTTATGGTTTTTAGTGTACAAATATTTCATATTTTTAGTAGATTTGTCCTTAAGTATTATATATTTTTATAAATGGTATTTTAAAAAGTTTTCAGTTTCTGAGTATTCTTCATTAGTAGATAGAAATAAAATTGATTTTTGTGTATAGCTCTTAAATCTAGCAATCTTACTAAATTCACTAATTAGTTTTAAAAGTTTTAGCTCCCATTAGATTTACTACATTTATGATCATGTCCTTTGTGAATAAAGACAATTTTACTTCTTCCTTTCCAATCAGTATGCCTTTATTTCTTTTTCTTACCTGATTGCACTGACTAGAACCTCTAATGCACTGTTGAAAAGAAGTGAAAATAGACACCCTTATCTTGTTCGTGATTTAAGAGAGATGCATTCAGTTCTTCACCATTAGGTATGATGTTAATACTTAATGTATAGGGAGTTTTTTTGTAGATGCCCTTAATCAAGTTGAGGAAGTTCCTTCTACCTTAGTTTGTAGAGTGTTTTTATTAGGAGTGGATTTTGGATTTTGTCAAATGCTTTTTTGTGTCTTAAGGTGGAAGATGAGGTGATTTATTTGAGGCCTTTCTTCTTTTTTAATATAGGTTTTCAGTACTATAAATTTCCTGCAACTACTGCTTTTGTGGTATCCTACAAATTTTGATATGTCTGCTCAATTTCATTAATTTCAAAATATTTTCTACTTCCCTTTTGATTCTTTCTTTGACCTATAGGTACTTACAAGTTGTTATTTCATTTCCACTTATTGGGGGATTTTTTTAAACATCGTTCTGTTACTGATTTCTATGTTAATTCCATTGTGTTCAGAAAACATTCTTTATATGACTTAAATCCTATCAAATTAATTGATATTTGTTTTATGGCCTACAGTATGGTCTGTCTTGTAAATGTTCCATGTACACTTGAAAAGAATTTGTCCTCTGCTGCTGTTGGTTGGAGTGGTCTATACATGTCTGTTAGGTCAAATTGATTTATAGTGTTGTTCACGTCTTCTGTATTTAAAAAAAATTTCTGTCTACTTGTTCTATCAGTTATTGACAGAAGGGAATTACAGTCTCCAACTATTATAGATCTATTTTTTCTTGCAGTTCTATCAGTTTTCACTTCATATATTTAAAGCTCTGTTTTGGGGGGAATAAATACTGAGAATTGTTATTGCTTCTTGACTAATGAACAATTTTGTTACTGTGAAATGACTTTCCTTCTTCCTGACAGTATTTTTTGCTCTGAAATCTACTTCATCTGATGTTAAAACAGCCATTCCAGTTTTATTTTGACTGTTGTTAGCATGGTATATCTTTTTCCTTTTTCCATTTTTAAATTTTTTACTAATTTATATTTTTATATTTAAAGTGTTTTTCTTATAGACAGCATACAATTGGGCCTTTCCTTTTTATCTAACATGAAAGTCTCTACCTTTTAATTGGGATGGTTAGACCTTTTACCTTCAATGTGATTTATTGATATGGTTCATTTTAAGTCTGTCATCTTGCAATTTGTTTTCTATCTTTCCTATCTGTGTTTTCTCCTTTTCCACTTTTACTTTCTTTTTTTGGATTGAATTTTTTTTTAATGATACCATTTTATCTTTTTTCTTTCTTCATTAGCTATAAGTTTTTGCTTTGTTCTTTTAAGGGTTTCAGGTTTTATAGTGTATATCTTTAACTTAAAATAGTCTGCTTTAAGGTGATAATGTATATAACACTTAGAGTTTAGCATAAGAACCATAAAATATTATGCTTCCCTTTCCCCTTGTCTCTCCTTTGTGCTGTTGTCATACATTCTACTTTTGCATATATTGTAAAACCTATAGTATATTGTTATAATTTTTGTTGAAATAGTAAGTTATCTTTTAAAGATATTTAAACAGTAAGAAAACATCTTTTATATTTACCCATCTGGTTACCCTTTGTGGTGCCTTTTAATTCAATCTGATATTTTCCTTCTGCTTGAAGGACTTGTTTTAAATATCTTTAGCGTGAGTCTGCTGCTGATGAATTTTTTTTGCTTTTGTTTGTCTGAAAATATCTTTGTTTCATATTTTTTTAACACTTTATTTTTTAGAGCAATGTTAGGTTTAAAACAAAATTGAGAGGGAGGTACAGAGATTTCCCACATGCCCCTGCCCCCACGCATGCATAGCCTCCCCCATTATCAACATCACTGGAAGTTTGTACCCCTTGACCACTATCTCCCCATTTCCCCCACCCCCTCATCCCCTGATAACCACAAATCTATGCTTCTATGAGTTCAACTTTTTTAGATTCCACATAAAGTGATATAATGACACTGAGATTTCTTTTACCAAGGGTGAACCTACATTGGCACATCATAATTACAAAAAGTTCATAGTTTATTTTAGGGTTCACTTGTGGTGGTGTATATTCTGTGGGTTTGGACAGATGTATAAATAATCACTGAGTAGCCTTCATTATAATATCAGAGTATTTTCACTGCTCTACATTCTTTGTGCTCTCCCTGTTCATTTTCTCAGCCCCCCGATCCCTGGCAACCACTGATCTTTTTATTGTTTCCATAGTTTTGTCTTTTCCAGAATGTCATATAGTTGGGATCATGGAATATGTGGCCTTTTCAGATTGGCTTCTTTCATTTAGTAATATGCGTTTAAGTTTCCTCCATGTCTTTTCATGGCTTGATAGCTTATTTCTTTTCAGCACTGAATAATATTCCATTGTCTGGATGTACCACAGTTTATTTATCCATTCACCAACTGAAGGAAATCTTGGTTGCTTCCGAGTTTTGGCAATTATGAATAAAGCTGCTTTAAACATTTATGTGCAGGTTTTTATGTGGACATAAGTTTTCAGCTCCTTTGAGTAAATACAAGGAGTATGATTACTGAATTGTATGGTAAGAGTATGTTTAGTTTTGTAAGAAATTGCCAGATAGTCTTTCAAATTACCATTTTGCATTCCCACCAGCACTGCAAGTTTCTGTTGCTCCACATCCTCTGTAGCATTTGATGTTGTCAGTGTTCTGGATTTGGGCCATTCATATAGATGTGTAGTAATATCTCATTGTTATTTTAATTTGTGTTTCCCTGATGACATATGATGTGGAACATCTTTTCATATGATTATTTGCTATTTTCAGTGAGGTATCTGTTAAGGTCTTTGGTCCAATTTTTAATTGGGTTTTTTCTTATTGTTGAGTTTTAAGAGTTCTTTGTGTGTGTGTGTGTGTGTGTGTGTGTGTGTGTGTGTGCACGCGCGCAGGCGCATGTGTGTGTATTACTTTCAGAAAAATTGAAATAGTAGTCTTTTGAGAGTAAATAATATGAATATAGATTGTTTGGGAATTAAGGAAGAAATATCATGGTCTGATAATCTTCATTTTAGCTTTCAGTTCTGTATTTAAGCTACTTATTTGTGAGTGGTTATTAACCTCTTAAAATTAAATAAATGTATTGAATGTTTAGTGAAAAAATTCTATTATGTAATAATTGATGTCTTTTAAAATCTTGTTTTCCTAGCAACAAAATTAGACATAAGTAATTTGCATTGCTTGTGTGCAAAAGCTAACAAATTGTATTCAACCTATAGGTTCTCAGGTTCTGGATTACAGCTTTCATACCATACTTAAATACACAGATATAAACATAGCTGACATATTCTACATCTCTGCGTGGCTTACTTGAAAAACAGAAACAGTTGCTTAATTGGGTGACCATCAAAATGGTCAATACAGATTGATGGGCTTGAGTGCAGTAGACAGTGGGTATGCAGGTGGTAGTGTCTGTACCATTTGACATGAGATAGCTGAGTCTTTAAAATGATTTTAGTGGAATGGCTTTGGTGGTGTTTCTGTAAAGGGCATCCATCCAACCTCAGGTGCTGTGCAGATGGCAAAGCCACACTAATGTAGAAAAATGAGAAACAAGTGACTATTTAATGTACAGGAATGCATGATCTGCGTCACAAATACATGATGGTATTACATGCAGGAAACCTAGCCAGATGGCTGTACATTAAAACACATGACTCCTTGAGAGAATTAAGTACAGGCAATTTGCTCAGATTTTCTGCAGCCCTGCTGCAGATTATATTAGGGTATGGAGCATAAGAGATTTAAGTGCTTTATTTATTGAAACTGTTTAGATGAAGTTGGCAGTTATTTAAGCATAATCTGATCTCCATAAGTAGTTAATTTGTCTCTTTGTGGAAAAAAAAAAAAGGAGGGAGGGTAGTTGGCTTTAAAATAAAAGAATGTAAGGAGTAAGATTGGCTGGTGAACCTGTGGAAAATAAAACTGTCTTTTGGCCCATATTTTTCCACTAGGCAAAAGCTTAAAAATATTTTTAGACTAGTATGATAAAAGTATTTCTTTTTCTATATAGGTTTTAATGAGTCCAAATGGCAATGACATGGAAATTTTAATGTGGAAAGAGTTAATGTGTTGAGTTCTGTTTTAAACGGGGCCATTTTCACTGGTAAAATATTACATTTTTGTTTTTCAGCTTAAAGAAAGTGGTTATTGTACAGGTCATGAACCAGATTCCCTGGAATTCAGCACTGTGGGAGGATGGGTATCTACTCGGGCATCAGGCATGAAGAAGAATATCTATGGCAATATTGAGGACTTGGTAATTTTTTTTCTATTTATTATATAATAATTAGTCTATGGAGATTATTATAAAGTTGTTAAGCCTTTAAAAATTGAGTTGGAGAGTCCCCCACAAAAGTATACCCTTTTTGATTATAGTAACGTTGACTATGTGTAATACAAACAGTTAAAAGGTACAACTGTGGTCATTATTTAAGAGTGCTTCTTTTTGAGTAACTGATATTTAAATTTTGTAGATGTCTCAGTATCTGACTTATAAATGTATCTAAATATTAGTTTGCAAGCCTTGGAGCCTTGGTCTTCAACTCTACCACTATTTTAGTCTATTTACTTAGGTGATCTTGTCATTACTACTGTTTTGCCTTATGAGATTTTATATTTATTTTTCTGAAAAAAATTTTCTGTATAGAATTAAAGAGCCCAATTAAAAATGTTCTAGTTAATGTAATGTTTTATGTGCACATCATTTTGTTTTAGCTGATCTGGTGTCATTGCTCTTGAGAGTTAGTTAGGCATCCTGGCTAGGAATTAGGTATCATTTGTTCCATTTGTAGCTTTTCCAGTGATTAATTGTGTGACCTTGTGCAAATTCGTTTACCTTTCTAAACTTCAATTTCCTACTATATAAAATAGAATAATGTTATTTGTTGCATAGAATTATTATAAGGAATAAAGGACATAAAATGAAAACTCTTAGCGGAATCACTGGTATGTAATAGGTACTTCATACATGTTAGTTCCCTTTATCATCAATATTTTGATAACAATTTAAAAGAATAGTTTATGAGACTATTAAAGTGGTATTCCTAACATTATTCCTAGAGCTATTTAGGTTTGTTTTTCAAATCGAGCGTTTCAACATTTTCGTCAATGTCTTCATTGATAGAAATATCAAATTGTTGATGAAATATATTGGTTTTTTATAGTTAACACCCAACAATTTAAGACTTTAAGTGTCTATATTATGAACACTTTTTAAATGTTTGCATTATCTTTTTTTTTAATTGAACATATTTTAGAAATCACATTTTTCTTTTTGCAATTAAGATAACATAAATTCAGTTTCAGAAAAGAGAATTTGATCCTTTTGCTATTGGATTATTAAAAGCTTTATCAGAGTTAAGCATATTTGATAGACTACCACATTTAGTACTGCTAAAGCATGTAATTTATTTTAATCCTTTTGGGGGTTATTTAAGGGCCACAAATTATAAGTATACATGTTAATGTACCTATTTGCATGTTTATATCTAGTCTCTAATATAAAAAAGCATCATACTGTGTTTAATCTGCTCTTTAAACTGTTATCAATCTATTAACATGTCAATGAGCATAGGCTTGCACCATTATTTTTAAAAAGTGCTTATAATTCTCTTTTATTGATAATTTGTGATTTAGTAATTCCATATTAAAGAATATTTAAAGTATTTTTATTTCAAAATTATAGAAATAAATAAAGGGAAAAATATCTTCTGTAGTAATTTTTTAGCATACCTCTTTGATCATTTTCTTTGGGTAAGTTCCTAGCTTGGATTGTTGGGTCAAGCATGTTTTTAGGTCCTTGGACCCTTACAGCCAAATTGCTCTATAAAAATTTTGTGCCAGTTGACATTCTTACTAGCACTATGAGAATCTTTATTTTACTGGACCTTTTATTTATATTTTTTCCTAAAATTTTATATTTATTTGTTAGTGAATATAATCTTTTAAAATGTCCTCATTAGCAATTTTTATCTTTTTATTTTGCGAATTCTTTATTTATGTCCTCTGCTCATTTCCTTCAACAATAGACTATTTTTATTTATCTGTCAAAAAATTATTCTGAAAATATGTTGGGTTTTTACCTAACCATTTCTGATTCAGATCTGAGGAATTTTTTTGATTGACCCTCTCCCTACAATGTACTTAATTTCTCACATGTGTGAGACATATCTCACAGATATCTTTCTTCTTCTTTTTAACTCAGTCACCACGTCTCTCTCTTCATCCCAATTTTGATGTGATCAAAATTAATACTTCGTTCTTTTCACTCTTTTCTACTGAGTGGGCAAAGTAGATAAGTTGAAGGTGGGGATAAGGCAAGAATAATTTTTTTCTTAGAATTCTAAGCATCTAGAATAGTGCCTAACATGAATAATAGTGCTTCATAAATATTGTTAAATAAATGAAAGAATGAACCTATTAAAATGTGATCATTGCATATTTTTTCCATCCTTTAGTTCTTTACCACATGGACAGCCCTAGACTAGCTTTGGTTTAAGGAAATGTGTTTTTCAGTTTTTAAGATGATGAATATACCTAGGCCAATAACAATCTTAGAATAATTGTTCCCTCTTTTAAAGTTACATACAATTTATTGTTAGTCTGAGAACTACTAAACGATATTAGAATTCTGAAGGGAATCACCATTTATCACTTAAACCAGTATTTTAAAAATAGTGTTTTATATAAATATGTATGGGTGTGTGTATCCACACACACAACATTCACTGACAGATATCTAGAATTTACATCATGCATTGTATTAAACAGGTGGTTCATATAAAAATGGTAACACCTAGAGGTATAATAGAAAAAAGCTGTCAAGGACCTCGAATGTCAACAGGCCCTGATATCCATCACTTCATCATGGGATCTGAAGGTAAATATAACTGCAAACTTATTATGAAAAAATACAGGTTAGTGATTCAGTTTTGTGAAAATCTGTGATATTGTGATATCAGATTTTTGAAAGAAAGACATGTTTTATATATTTAATTTTTTTTTAAGTTTTATGACTTTAATTTAGTACTTCATAAAGTTTTTATTATAAGAACATCTTATTAAACTTTCTCTTGAATTTTGCTTTTTTATGTTTTTAGAGCCAGCTGAGTCCTTTTGGTGTTATTTTGTTTTTCTTTTAGAGTTTTTAATCAATTTCAGGAGGAGTAGCTGTTAGGGTTTAAAATGGTTTGCTTTTACATTTGCTGGTATGGTATTTTCTGATCTCTGAATTATCAGGAGGAAAGGACTAATAAAGTATTATCTTATTGCCTTGTCTTTCTATAATTATATCTTTTGTTATTTTCTAGTTGGTTTTTGAAGAAGTGGAATTTAAAATTCTGTTGATTCACATATCTTTGAAAACTTATGTTGGTCTTTTATTTTTTCACTACTTGAGTCATCTCCTTTGCTTGGTTACTTAATGCTGGGTAGATTAGAATGTAGTTCTTCATCTTCTGCAAAACATTTAATTTCTGTACCTATGAGGGGGAAAAAACCACTAACCTTCCTTCTAGTTTGCAAACTAACTCTTATGTAGGCACTGTGAATTTTATGGATAAGGTGAAGGTGGGCATATTTTTCAATTCTTAGCATGGTAGAGAGGGATAGTTATCCCTTAAATTCAGAGAAATGAAAGTGTTTCCAAGTTACCAGAGGAACTCACTACTAAGTCAGAAGGTGGTGCAAGCTGTCAAAAGATTTTCAAAACATCTAGCTATATTCATGGATAAAAGTGCATTTATGATAAACTAGGATGTTAGGGCATAAATTCTAACTTTTGATGGTAACATCAAGGAAAAAATAAATTATGTGTCTTAGTGATGTACTAGAGGTCAACTCTTAAATTGATGACCAGTGGTATAGCTTAGATATTTTTCATGATAATTAGTGACAAACCTGTCAAGGTGTTTCACCAATTTACTCTCTTATTCCTTTTCTGATCAGTGCACTCTTCTGTGGAAAAACAGAACTACACTTTTAATGAGAAAAATAAAATGTTAAATTCCTTTAAAATAATACAGTTCTCTAAGAAATATTATTTTGGAACTTCTTGTATTAATGCATCATCCAAGAGTTAACTGAAAGAATATAACTTTTTCCAGTCAGATGTCAAATTGAATAACAAATAGGTATTAAAACTGATAATTATTAATTTTACTATTGGTATATACATAGTTGGAGTCAACTCTGTAAATTATCTTTTCAAGTAGCTACATCAAACATTTTTTTTCTCCCATCAATTAGCGTTTAAAAAATTCTGGTTGCTAGGTACTGTGCTGGCACACCCAAGGACACAGGTAATAATTGACCATTAAAATTGAATAAGATAAATTCTATGATAGAAGTAAATGAAGGAGAAATACAGACAAAAGTCATGTTGATGGGTGCTTAGGAAGACTCCCGCAGAGGGGTTGTGCCTAAAGTGGTCCTTCAAGGATGATAATGAGAAAATAATTCTAGGCAGAGTTGAGGGAATAAGGTGGGGAGGGAGTTGCCCTACACAGAGAACTAACTGCATGTGAACAGGCTTAAAAGTGAGAAAGAGTTGTGTCTGCCTCGTGAAGGTGCCAGTTTTTCAGTGTGACTGGAACTTAAGATTTAATTGTAGAGTGGAGTTGACAGCAGGTCAGGGTGTGGAGTAGTAAGGGTTACAGGATGGCTGGAGAGATAATTTGGTCTTTTATCCCTTTATAATAGTTTGAACTTTATCCAAAAGACTGGACTACCTCCTTCAATAGTAAATTATTGTACGAATTTAAGGAAGGCAAACTCATTGTTATAATAAAGTAAGCAAAGAAATACAGTTTATTAGAAACATGTACAAGGGTAAGTTACTATATTTAAATGAGATTTTATTATAAATACCCATGCAAAATGCCATACTGATTTAAGAGCATGAACCTTGAAATCTTTCAGATCTGGATTTCAATCCTGGTTTTACCACTTATATTTCTGTGACTGTGTAAATTAGGTAGTTCTCTATGCCTAGTGTCCTCAGCTGTAAAATGGGGATAATAAAAGTATCTATATTCAAAAGCTTTTTGAGAGGGTCAAATGAAATTATGCTAAACAGTTTATAAGCATGTAGTAAGTCCTCAACAAATGTTAAACCGTTGTGGCTGTTTATTATTTTGGCATCAGTGATCTTTATATTTATGGTCCCTAATCCCCATTTCTGTATGTATGTGGATATAGAGTAATCTTAATATAGGCCAGGAGACAGCATGACTGAGAGAGTAAATTTATGTGAAATCATATTCTTTTATAATATGTATTTTCTCTGCTGTTTTGAACTATCTAAATAATAACCTCCTGCCTTAAATATGAATCATAAACTTTTCCTTGAGATTTAGAAAATACTTTCTTTTGCTATAGTTAAATCATTTGACGACAACCTTGAAAGCATCACCATTATAAAAAAACCTATTTTCCCCCATCCTGCTAAGTTCCACATGTGGATAGCCAAGTTAAGTTTAATGTTTTTATGTTGTTTTGTGTTATGAATTTTTCATAATGATTATTTTGACAAGCAGGTTCCTCCCATTTTAGATGTTATAGTATCATGATGAATTAATGAAAACCGTAATAAATAAAGCATTTGAAATGTTTTATATTCTTTTCCTATATGTGGAATTTACTAGTAACTTATAATGATTTGCTCTTTTATTTGAAAAATGGCTAAAAGTACATTTTTTTTTTTTAACTCGTTACCCACCCTTGTTTTAGCCTTTGCTCTAAAATGAAATAGATGAAAAGCTTACTATCAGTCCTTCTGTGTAGTTTTACTTCATCTTTTGGTTAAATAAAGCTCATCCTTTAGATTCCTCAGGAAAGGCACATTCGTATATCCCATGAGTTCTGGAATGTTCTAAACTACTTTTCTATGACCTTGATACCTGCAGGACAGCTTGAGTGGCTTTAATATTCATGGGTCACACTTTTTTTCCTTGTTTTTTGAAAATACTATTCCACTGTTGCTTTGGTTTTGTATGTTGTTTTAAAGAAATCTAATGCCAATTCTCTTGACTTTTTGCCTGGAGGCAGTGAGGATTTTTTTTTTCTTTATCATTAAAGTTTACTTTTACAACTGAGAGTTGATTTTTGTGGGTCATTTTGCTCTGGTCAGTGGACCCTTTCTCTGTGTATATGCTGGTCTTCTTTTATTTCTGTAAAGTTTTTCTTTGGATTATAGAGTTAAATATTAGGGTTTTGGATTCCGTTCCCCCTGCTGTTTTGATTTTTCTTCTTCAGGGACACCAGTTATACATTTGTCTGACTTTCTTTGCTTATTTTTCATTTCATCCATGATTTCTCTTTTTTTCTCAACTTCTTTCTTTATTTTATTTTAATTCTCTTGGTTATTTTCTGGCTTTTCTTCAATGCCCTGTATTAAGTTTTCATTTGAATCTATTCTCTCTTCTCCTTTGGATACCTTGTAACCCAGCCTTCATTTTTTTTTATGTTTTGTTGTTCTATTTCTTCCCTGAGTTTGGTCATCGTTTATTTCATTTTATCTTGTTTTTTGTCCATTTATGTTTTTAGTGTTTATGTTTCTAATTCAGCTATTTTTTCATATCCCCAAATGCTTGTTTGACAGTGTTTAATTGAGTTTGAAATGCTGTGTTTACAGTTTTCTTCAGGATCATGGTTGGTTTTGTGGGGGATACTTTTCATCAGCAGAAAAGCTATTATTTCCATTTTCTGATGTTTTGCAGTAGTTTTGTATGGATTTGGTCTGCTTTTTTCTGTACCTGTTATTACTTGGAAAGGGTTCCTGGTTTGAGAGTGTTCTGTTCTGTCACTTCTACCCTCTTTTGTGCTATTTGCTTTATAGATGGTGGTGTTTTTGGTGGGAGAAGCCATGGCATGTCCTGTTTCTCTTTCATTTCTATCAGATCTTTAATTTTCCTCCTAATTTTATTCTTTCCCTCCACTGCCTTGTCTCCAAGGAGTACCACACTCCTCTAATTTGATGCTTCTTTGAAGATACTTCCCTTACTTCTCCAAGGGTGCCATTTCTGGTTACTTCCATTTTCAAACCCCTCCTCATAGCCAGGGTTATGGATTACCAAGTCTTATACAGTATTTGGAGTTTATTGTTGCACTTTTGCTTTCCACGGTTGATTTTGTCTCTGCTTACTTTAAGTCCTCTGCTACCCTCTACTCTTTCTTAGGGAGTCTTCTAAACGCCCCCCCCCTTACTCACTTTCTGCCCTTATAAGCTTGTAGCAGCTGGAAGGCTGTAGAAGGTCTGTTGGAGTTTTTTCTTTTTATCTCTACTTATGGGTAATTAGAAAGCCATAGTGTTTTCTTGTCCCCTTTTAATACTAAAGTGTATGTCCTGTGTGGTTTTATTTGTTTTCCTTGTTGATTTTCATGTTTGAGGGGAGGAGGGTAGAGGGAGAGGGAAGATTCAGAATCAAATGATTACCTTTCTTCTCAGTCCTGAGGTCACCTGAACGTATATTTTCAAATTATGAAAGATTTTATTTACGTCAAGCAAATACTTGCATTTTGTATTAGCTAGTAGTTGAAGCTTTCAGTTTTCTTAAGAACACTATATTTGAAATTATAAAACAGAAAATTCTAAAATTTACAGTAACATATTTTTATTGAAACAGAAAGTGAATGACATATAAGCCTCTATGATGTCACATTGCCATGGAGTTGTTTACAAACAATTATATAAAGTGGATATAAAATATTGGTATAATGTGCATATAATCAAGTGATAAGTAATCTAAGTAGTGACATAAAATTCCCAGAGCAAAAGAATCAATAAATATAATAAAGCCCAACAGAAGTGAGCCTTTCAATGAAGTGAATTTAGATGTAAACATTTATGGTTGGATTAATTTGAATATAAATCTGGATGGA